TTTTTCCAATAGAGCCTCCTGTGTATCGAAAGTGTGCTCTGAGCACGTGTAATATACAGACGCATCGTTTGAGGTTAGTTTTCGCTTGCGCTACGAAAATGCCGAAAGTAAAACGTTACATGTAGAAAGGAAAAGTTGTCACTGAAAAAGTATACAATCAACGGTTAGCACAGACAAATACTGGGAAACGTAATTTGAAGACACGAGTCGAAACCACACCAGATGATTGTAACAATTCCATGGCACATGTAACGTTTTACTTTTGGCATTTTCGTAGCGCAAGCGAAAACTAACCTCAAACGTTGCGTCTGTATATTAAGGTGCCTTTTCATGCTGACGCTCGACGCTCATTTTCAGCGGCAAGAAGGTCGCATGACCACAATTGACGCCGGCGTCAATTGAAATTCATGAAAAGGGAAACAGCGTCAAAATTTCGGCGTCTTTGCGCTGCTTTGGCTTTGACGCTTGAAGTTGGAAAAATCCAACTTCTCTTTCTTGACGCTGGCATCATAGTGATGTCACGTGACGACGCTGTTTTTCAGCGTCCCATGAATTGGCACCTTTACACGTGCTCAGAGCACACACTTCGCGTTCATGCAGCTGATGTCGAGTGAGATCAATGCTACCAACTTACAGAAAATGCGACGTTGTTGCGATCAAAATACTTTTTTATGAGAGCTATTGTATTTAATTTATTAATAAATGACGTAAATAAATAACGTAATATAATTTCATTAGTATTTTTAAACAGTAATTACTATGTTTTGTTACTTTTTGAAGATTTTCACATTTTCAGATTTTCGTTTGTGTCAGTTGCAAGTCAGGTACAGTCTTTCTAAAAATCATTAAAAGTGAAAATTTGCATACGAGAAAATATACATAAAAATGTCTCTATAGCTCTTAAAAACACAGGCAACCGTTATTTTAATAAAATATTAATATAAATATTACTTTTCAGTAAAGAATATCTTCTTAAATATGTTAATTAGCTTTATGTTACGTTTCTTAAACTTTTGGCAGAGATCTTACGGGTCATACAACCTTAAGCGCCAATAGTATTTCGTGCCTCACCTCGAAAATAGCGCGATGATGATGTCACGCTGCCTTTACAGTGACGTCATCATCGTATATCACAGCGCCACAAAGCGTCTCCTCGAACAGTTTTGGACGATAATTGTGCTAATAGCGTGCTCCCCGAATGCACCCATATTATACATATATTGTCTCACTCTAACTTATTGCACCAGTTCAGCCCAGGTCAGTCAGTGCAACTAAATAAACAGACCCATTATTATTTCAGTGGGTTCTCTAGGTTAGGTTAGGTTAGGTTAGGCTAGGACAAGGTTAAGTCGCGCTCATCGATAATCGACAAATTATTCGTGCGATCTCAAGAACACTCGGCTTGATGAACGGCGAGGCCACGGCGTAAAGATTAGTCTCGGCCAGTCTCGGCGTTTGTATGCGGGCGCAGTGCCTTGACGAGAGGCGAGTAGCTTTCAGGACTGACGACGCAATTTCGGGCATCAGATTGACATAACTTCGTCGTCGTCGTGCTCGAACGAAGACATCATTCGGAGAAAAATGTCAAAAATCGAGGAGGCGAACGAACACATACGTCAGGCTGAAAAAGCGTAAGCACTCTTCTCGTCCTCCCAGACTCTTTTTGACATTGCCGGATCGCTCAGATGTTTTTGGATAGTCAAGATGTTCCTCTTGTTAAATTTTGTTTTGTCACGCGGTATATGAATTCTAGCATTAGAATTAGAGCCAACGAAACGAGCTCATGCGCACGAACTAATTTTAACAATTTCTTCTTCAAACTTGTAGCTTTGTAAGTTTTCCAAAATCGTATATTATTTATGGGCTAGCTACAGTGTCGAATAAATCTTTGTCTCTTCTAGCTTGAAACTTACTTTCTTGAAGTGGCGGCCCGATTACGAGGTAGCGGCTGACGAGTACTCACACGCAGGTAAGAAAAATATAAGACTATGATAATAAAATAATTGAACAAAGTATATAAATAGGAAGTCAAATGTTTCATCAGTTAAGTTTAAAGAAATTAGCTGATCCAAATATATTAAATGTAGTATCTACTTACAATCTGATATGAAAATTTAGTTAGAAATTATATTTGCTTGAAATTTTTCAACATATAATAAATTAAGAAATTAATTGCATAAAAACTTTGCGAGGACTTAACAGAATTAAACTTTCTTAATTTTTTCTTTAGCAACATGCTTTCGAATAGCCAAGTCATATGCCCAGTGTAAAGATTGTTTAGTAAAGGCAGCCGACTGTTACAAGCAAACCAAAGCGTATCCTTTGATATAATAATGATATGAAAAACGATAATTTCAGATTTTCGGTTCCAGGTGTTGCGCAAATATATCTTTAATAATATGTTAAGTTCACTAAAGAATTCATTTATGTGTATCTTGTTTTATCATTATTTTAATGACAAGCTATTTTCATAAAGATATTTAAAAGACACGAAACAAATTTTTCTTTATGTAAACCTAATTATATTTTAATAATGAAACTTTATTTTAATAATGAAACTTTGATAAATGATTCTTACAAGTAAAATAGAAATATGCCATGTTCGGTTGAGCCAGATCTTTGTAGTTTAATATTTTTTTATGTGAATTTATATACTTTTTTCACCACTCATGCTGCATGCCGATTATTTGCTAGTCTTGAAACACAGTTTTTCATTAGAACAGTAAATTTAACATACTTAAATCAATAATCGATTTAACTTTTTGGTGCTAATTATATTTTTTCCTTAAGTTTCTGAAAGTAAAATTTCACACATTCTCATATATTTCCCTTAAATCTACAATTTAATGCAAGATAGATGGTTCCATGCAGCAAAGTACGTATCATATATACAGTATTTAGATTTTATCACGTATTGCGATAATATAAGAATGTAATGTTTTCAGGAGCATCGAGCAAGCTCTGGTCATTTGCAAGGAAATGGGTGATTTGTCAGAGATATCAAAACTAGCTCACAGTGCCTGTAGCCTTTTCCAGCAGCACGGCTCTCCTGAATCAGGCGTAACTGCTCTCGACAAGGCAGCCAAGATGCTGGAAGCTACACAGCCACAGCAAGCTCTGGAGCTGTTTAAACGTGCAGCTGATATAATCATGGTAGGCCCTGCCGTTTTATGTCATAAGTCAAAACAAATTATTACAAAAATTTAATTTGAAGAGAGAAAAGGAAGGTTGTCTGAGACTTAATCATACAAATATATACGTATGCATATTTGTATGATTAAGGGTCCATATACCTCAGTAGGTCCAAAAAAAGGTGATTTTTGTGAATTTTTTGTGGAGAAAGTAAAC